TAAAAAAAGTCTAGCGGAGAGTTATTTAGGAGTGTAAAAAAGTCTAGCGGAGAGTTATTTAGGAGTGTAAAAAAGTCTAGCGGAGAGTTATTTAGGAGTGTAAAAAAGTCTAGCGGAGAGTTATTTAGGAGTGTAAAAAAGTCTAGCAGAGACTTATTTAGGAGTGTAAAAAAGTCTAGCGGAGAGTTATTTAGGAGTGTAAAAAAGTCTAGCAGAGAGTTATTTAGGAGTGGAAAATAAATCTAGCAGAAAGTTATTTAGGAGTAGTAAAAAAGTCTAGCAGAGAGTTATTTAGGAGGGGAAAAGATGTCTAGCCTAGAGTTATTTAGGAGTAGAAAAGTCTAGCAGAGAGTTATTTAGGAGTGGGAAAGTCCAGCGTAAAAAGTCTAGCAGAGAGTTATTTAGAAGTGGAAAATAAATCTAGAAGAAAGTTATTTAGGAGTGTAAAATCGTCTAGCAGAGAGTTATTTAGAAGTGGAAAAAAAGTCTAGCAGAGAGTTATTTAGGAGTATAAAAAAGTCTAGCAGACAGTTATTTAGGAGTGGAAAAAAGTCTAGCAGAGTATGGAAGCAGTAAAAGACAATTCAGGTAGACCTTATAGTGGAGGTACTGAAAGACAGACAGTCTTGGTTGGAAGACTTTATGGTGAAAGCATTAAAAGACAATTCAGGTAGACACTATAGTGGAGGTACTGGAAGACAGACAGTCTTGGTTGGAAGACTTTATGGTGAAAGCATTAAAAGACAATTCAGGTAGACACTATAGTGGAGATACTGGAAGACAGAAAGTCTTGGTTTGAAGACCTCATAGTGGAAGCATTAAAAGAATATCCAGGTAGACACTATAGTGGAGGTACTGGAAGACAGACAGTCTTGGTTGGAAGACCTCATAGTGGAAGCATTAAAAGAATATCCAGGTAGACACTATAGTGGAGGTACTGGAAGACAGACAAACTTGGTTGGAAGACCTCATAGTGGAAGCATTAAAAGAATATCCAGGTAGACACTATAGTGGAGGTAGTGGAAGACAGACAGTCTTGACTGGAAGACCTCATAGTGAAAGCATTAAAAGAATATTCAGGTAGACACTATAGTGGAGGCACTGGAAGACAGAAAGTCTTGGTTGGAAGACCTCATAGTGGAAGCATTAAAAGACAATTCACGTAGAACCTATAGTGGAGGCACTGGAAGACAGAAAGTCTTGGTTGGAAGACCTTATAGTGGAAATGTTACCACGTAGGGAAACATTACAAGATTATTCAGATGAAGCTTATAGTGGAAGTGCTGGATGACAATGTTTTCGTTGGAGGATCTCACAGTTTAGGTTGACTTTATACTAGTGGTACTAGAAGGCAGAGAGTGTTAGGTGAAAAACCTCGTGTAGTAAGATTAATGGAAGACAATCCAAACAGAGCTTATCTACTCTGTGTGAATTATGACCTTCCACATTGCCGGGAACGTTTTAACGTTCTGATATCAAGATGATCCCCCCTCCCCCAAACCTTGAACACAGTAACTCCAAGGGCAACAGCATTCCACTAATCTCCTTTCATTAACCCTCTTTTGAGAACATAACTGTAGTGCGTGTAAGTGCCACCAGGAGAACACGGTGATAATCTCTAGAACAATAGTTTCAGATGCTCAGAAGAGGAAATCTCAAGGTTTTGTAACTGATAAACTGTTATTGATGTGTAGTTCTTAAGGTACATCCTTCCGATGAAATTAGGTTTAACTTTTTGGTCATTCCACTTAGTAACTGTAAACATGACAATCCGAGGTCAAGTCATACAACTGACCAGTGAACGATAAAAGTTAAATCAGAAATACTTTAACTTATCGTGTTTTTTAAAAATTAAGCACGAAACTACACAATGGGCTACCTGTGCTGTGCCCACCATCAATTTCGAAATCCAGTTGTTAGCGTTGTAAAACTGCAGACATGCCGCTGAGCCACTGGGGAGGGGGGGGGCTAATTTATCGGACTTTGGTCTTTCTTAATAGTGATTTAGATTTGTTTTTTCTTCCTAAAGACTTTCTCCTTATCTTCATTATGGTGACAGACCCCAAGAAAGCTGCCAGTCCGATGTTAGTTTAATGTTACCCTCAACCAATGTAATTGTTACCATTATCTTCAGTATGGGATGCACCGATTTCCACCAATAAACTGCACTTGAAACCTAACATCAGCTGTGACGTCATAATATGAAATAATATTTTTATAGTGAGCATACAAAATCAGAAAAGAGAAAATATGAATGTGTAGTTTCATCAAAATTATCCCTCAGTTTAGATGAAACATTTGTTCAAGAACATAATGATTTGAATTATTTCAAAACTTACGAAAAATGATGATGATGATGTGACGAAGATGTTGCAGCAAGGAAGGAAGAGAAAACTTATACTAAATAATCTTTAGAACGTTATATAAAAATGAAAACCTTATCATTAAAATGTAACAGTTACTGTTGTAGAGACGTACTGGTTAACTTTCATCAGAGGCAACAATCTTAACACACTCGTTCATCAGTATTAACACTTCAAACACAATATCTGTCGTCAGTACTATCACTCGTAACACAATATATTCATCAATACTAACACTTGTTCATCAGTATTAACACTTCAAACACAATATCTGTCGTCAGTACTATTACTCTTAACACAATATATTCATCAATACTAACACTCGTTCATCAGTATTAACACTTCAAACACAATATCTGTCGTCAGTACTATCACTCGTAACACAATATATTCATCAATACTAACACTTGTTCATCAGTATTAACACTTCAAACACAATATCTGTCGTCATTACTATCACTCTTAACACAATATATTCATCAATACTAACACTTGTTCATCAGTATTAACACTTCAAACACAATATCTGTCGTCATTACTATCACTCGTAACATCGTGTTACATTTCTTTTCGCAATTTCATAATCTGTATTAACATTTAATACAGTATCTTTCTTTAACAGTCGTAACACAGTATCGTTCATTAGTGTTATCTTGTTATACAGCGTCACTGTTCAGTGTTAACACGGTATCATTAATTTCTGTAAACTTTGTCGATCACCACCAACACTTCGAACACAACGTTGATGTTACTTGTTTATAAATACTTGTAGCTACAGCCGGTGTTTGTTTGATCTTCACAGGCCCGAGGGGTCCGCCGTGCACCTGCACAACTCGGCTCCGATGCAGAGATCCCGACCAGCTGAGCTCGTCTTCCGAGCTGTGTGTGTCTCGTGTAGCGGAAAGCAGATTCTACAAGACGTCAGTGGAATGGTTCGTCCAGGTCAAGTGTTAGGGGTCATGGGACCGAGCGGTAGGTACAATAAACCATCCCAGGTCTTTGTACTTTTATATTCATGGTCATCGTTGTTAGGGTTCACTACCACTAGATCTTTCCTAGACATACAGTAGTTGTTTATTGGTATTTGTAGAGTGGTCAAACAAGTTTGGCGCTAACCAATAAATCTGATATTGTGTCTGTAATATCCATTCAGGTTCGGCAAGTCGTCGGACTACACATTTAAGTAGTTTAATGATTTTTGTTTTATATTTAGCTTTTCCCCCTATGAAACGTCGAGGTGATTATTACATTAACTGTCAGTCTGTTTTCCGTGCGTCTGTTTGTTTATATCTGACGTTAATGTTGCTATCTGTATTCCAGGCTCTGGGAAGACCACCTTACTTAATGCTCTGAGCGGCAGGCTGAAAACAGACTCGGGCCTGATCACCTTGAACGGAGAAACCCTTACTAAACAGCTGCGCAGAAAGATCTGTTACGTCATGCAACAGGATATCTTTTTCCCAGACCTCACTCTCCGCCAGACTCTCACAGTAAGAAATATTAGAATATAGAAACCTAGCGTTAAGAAACTTAATTTTAACTGTGATTTTCAGTAGATGTAGTACAGCTACTGAAAATCACAGTTAAAGTTCAAGGCCATTAATTTTAAAATCACAGTTAAAGTTCAAGGCCATTAATTTTCTACAGCTACTGAAAATCACAGTTAAAGTTCAAGGCCATTAATTTTCCAGTAGCTGTAGAAAATTAATCGGCCTTGAACTTTAACTGTGATTTTCAGTAGCTGTAGAAAATTAATAGGCCTTGAACTTTAACTGTGATTTTCAGTAGCTGTAGAAAATTAATAGGCCTTGGGTTTTGTTATGAAATTCATAATGAGTTTGTACTTATTTTTTGACTAAAGAGGTGGTCAGTGGTTTAGGTTAGAATATATGCATTGGTCATATATTGTTTATCAAGTTCTTCTTGTTTAAAGAAAGAAGTTATACAAAATATTTGTAAGATTTTTCAAACAACCACCATTTTGATTCTGGCGTTTGGTCGTGATTATTCACTTCTTACCATTACTCATTTCGGTTAACTTTAAGAGTTAAACTGTTATCCGTTATCACATGAGGCCAGTCCTTTGAGATTAAATACAGGGAATATTTTCTCGCTCTCCTGTAGCACGAGCAGTAGAGTTTCTCTGCAGTACACCACAGTTTGCGGCTAACCCTGTATAGCTGGCTTCTCCTATTTATCAGCGCAAAATTTTATGTATCGAATTTACATAAGGTCACGTGCTTGTGGGAGTGAGAATATTATAGCGTTAAAATTGTATTTAATACCAGCATTCAAAAGATCTTCTGTCTTTATTAGGCTTGTTTCGAATCTTCAAGTCAAAACTAAAAATAAAAACCGTTAACTGTAGCTTTGACTTGATTATAACAATGAAATATAAACTACTCAAATTCAAATATTTATACATCAAATGTAACATTTAAAAAATAAATGTGTTATATAGAGAATGGGAAAAAATGACGTGTATGGAATTTAAAATAGAGAATTGAAAAATGACGTGCATGGAGTTTTAAACAAAGAATGGTAAAAATGACTTGTATGGAGTTTTAAACAAAGAATGGTGAAAGATGACGTGTATGGAATTTTAAATAGAGAATTGAAAAATGACGTGCATGGAGTTTTAAACAGAGAATTGAAAAATGACTTGCATGGAGTTTTAAAC